GCGGGCGCCATTGCGCCCGCGGGCACCGTGTTGGGGACCACGGTACTAGAAGATTATAATGATCTCTTCTAGTCCTAGAGACTATGACTTCCCCTTCCTACTCAGATTCTCAGACCTTTTCCTTTCACCTCCCCATACTCCTTCAACTATTCCTATGTTATCCAGTATACAGCTGCACCAGATGTGCCCTTTGGGAAAACCATTTACAGACTGCGCCCGCGGGCACCGTGTTGGGGACCACGGTACTAGAAGATTATAATGATCTCTTCTAGTCCTAGAGACTATGACTTCCCCTTCCTACTCAGATTCTCAGACCTTTTCCTTTCACCTCCCCATACTCCTTCAACTATTCCTATGTTATCCAGTATACAGCTGCACCAGATGTGCCCTTTGGGAAAACCATTTACAGACCATGTAAGTAAGAGGAGGATAGTACAACACTTGAAGTAGTTGGCTCTAGAAGGCTAAGACGAGCAATAAGTAGAGATTTTTAAATAATTCTGACAATCAGTTCCAGTCACAATAGGGATAGGGAGAAAAGGCCTTTCCCTTGAGTACAAAGTAATCTGATTCTTATTTATCATCAGAGTTCATGATCTCACAGAAAGTCAAGATGTCAGAGACAGTTATCTAAGCTTCATTTCACGCTCTACAACACAAAGCTGGTTGTCAACAAAACCAACATCTTCTATGACTTGATATCAGATTAAACCTCCAATTTAGTTTGCATCAACCAGACATAGTTGTATGACATACATAGCTCATGGACCAGAGCTTTGTATTTACATAATACCAGAACATTACATTTAAATTCAAATGAAATGTTTGTTGTTGTTGTTGTTGGGGGTTTTTAAACAGACACAGGAGGAATCAGGAGATAGTTACATAAAACAAGGTCAAATATCAAGTTCATAATTTTTTAAAAACAACATTTTGCAGAAGAACATAGTTTGAAATTTATCTGTCAGGTTAACATATCAAATACATTTAACACTGAAACAGCCAGTTATGAAAAACAGCCTATAAATATTTGTCAAACCAACTATTTCAACTTTCCTCTTCTGGTAATCACCTAATCTTTTCTTCCCATAAAAACTGTTCTTAACTGTGTTCAAAATGACACCCCATAATGATACAAAAACTCCTTTTCATTTGACTAGATGTGCAAAAAACAAAGCTTTCTGAAACTCAAAGTTCACACTATGTTTTTGATAAACAAAACAATGCAGAGATTTATCAAAGGTGATTTAAACCTTTAAAGAGCCCAGCTCATTATTTCTGACACCTAAAGGTTATGTATAGAATGAGAAGAAGGTATTTACTTATGATATACTCAGCTGTTCCTCATAATAATTTCATATTATAGACCAATGGCATAAGCAGTCATATATATTTATAAATGCATTACAGAGACATAATTTCTCTTCACTTTCAACCACTTGCAAATATTTGTTTCACAAACTGTCATATGTGCATGCAAATGCATGCCCTTTTGACTCTTCAATACACTAAGCTTGATTCAGTTATGTCTTTTGTAATATCAGCACAGCAGCCAATTCCTGTCCCTCACCAAAGAAATTCTAATCTAAGTACTGGAAGACAAAAGAAGAGTCCTTAATAAGCTGCTGTAAACCAGACATGTTACAACTCATTCTGGCCATCAGCTCTGAGAGGTATTCAAAAGAAACAAACATACCGGATTTGGATAGATGTAACTGATTTGTAACTGTAAATATCCAGATGGCACATGATCAAACATATTTAACATATTTTATGAAGAAAAATGACCCTGATAACCAACTTAAAAAAGCATTTTATTTGTAATTTCACAAAACATATAAAACCTCATCAACGTTTCAATGGAAAACTTGTGAATGTGAGATCTAAATTAACAGAAAATCCAGTCTTTTAAAAATACATGCAGAAATCTAATGGCCCAGATAACAGAATCACAGATCTCCTACTACAGCCAAGAAATGCAGAACAAATATCTGGGGAACAGGGGCGTTCAAGGAGGCCTTGGAGCACCTCATTTCCTGGCCCAATTGAGCACTCTTGTCAATTCAGTAGTGTCTTTTGCTTTCTTCATAATCATGTTGAGTGGAAGGGGCAATCCTGTAGTCAAGATCAAGAGCATAAGGATACTCCAAGCCCTATCATGTTTCTTCCATCATATTCCCATTTCAGCAGTGGAGTAGTGGGATTGTGTCTCTATGCCCCTAAAACAGGGTGGGGGTAAACTATGACCCAGAGGCTGGAAACCTAGCTTGCCTGGATCAAGTCCTTGAGGCTCCCTCCCCCGCTCCCACCAGCCCATGCTGGTGTTCCAGCTCCCCACTGCGGACGGGTGAGGGGGGAAGCCCCATATCTCATGGGCCAGGGTCAGGCAAGCTGGGGCCATACCTGAAGCTCCCCCTGGCAGGGAGAAGCAGCAGCTCTACAGGATGTCATTCCCCCATCTTGGGATATGGCAACACAGCAAAACACTCCCTGAAGGCTTTTACCCCACTGCTTCAATTGGCCATTACTGTAGCCAATAGGACAAGTAGGGAGCAGTGCCTGGGAGCAATGGGGAACATGGAGCTGTGCCAGGTAAACCCAGACCCCCTAAATCACAACCCACTCCTGCACCCTCCCTCACAGACACCACACCCATAGCCTGCTTCCCGGTAGCCCCACCCAAACAATAAACCACTCTTTTGGACCAAACCAGAGCCAACAGAATTTACTAGCTGGAGCCGGCCAGCTGGCCGCTGCCCCACCCCTGGTGTGCGAGGGGAATGTCTTTCAGCTTCTCTGTCAGGGGACATATCAGTGAGGTAGGTTTTTCTGGTTTTTGCTTCTCACTTTTTTACAGCCCCTGACTGATTTTTTTCTGTGGATAAATGGCCCCTGATCCAAAAAAGGTACTCTATCCCCGCTCTAGAAACTCCCCAAACTGGGATAATTCTCAAATACCTGTCTACACCTCTTTTGCATTATCAGTACAGAGTAGAACCTCATCCTAGAATCATAGAATCCTAGAACTGGAAGGGACCAAGAAAGGTCATCAAGTCCAATTCCCTGTCCTCACAGTAGGACCAAGCACCATCTAGATCATCTCTGAAAGATGTCTATCTAACCTGTTCTTAAAAATCTCTAATGGAGATTCCACAACCTCCCTAGGCAATTTATTCCACTGTTTAACCACCCCCTGAAAGTTGAGAAGTTTTTCCTAATGTCCAACCTAAATCTCCCTTGCTGCAATTTAAGTCCATTCTAAATAAAGCATTATGGTTGGTTTTTTTGAAAGTTTACAACTGAGCATTGACTTAATACAGCTTTGAAACTTTACTGCAGAAGAAAAGATGCTGCTTTTAACCAACTTAATTCAAGCACAAAATAGGGATGTAAGCGACTATCCGAGGCAGCAGGGGGAGGCAGGGAGTTCTGGAGGAAGCTGGCTCAAAAGCTGGTTCCCCCCAGCTCCAACTCTGTGGGAGAGGGCAGGAGCTCAGTAGCGGCCAACTTTGAAATGTACACGAGTCCTCACTGGGGACAAAGCAGAAGCACCACATGGATTCTGGGGTCAGCGGGGGACTCCCAGCTGGCCCTGGGCTCCATGCGGCCTGCCAGCTTTGAAATGCACAAAAGTCCCCAGCAGGGGCTCTTGTGCATTTCAAAGCAGACGTGCCTGCTTGGAGTTTTGGGTCAGCTGGACTCCCCGCTGGCCCCAGGCTCCACACAGTGTTCCAACTTTGAAATGCACAAGAGCCCACACTGGGGCTCTGTTACATTTCAAAGGCAGAATGCAGAAGTTTTTATCGACTCATTGACTGGTCGATGGAAATTCCATCAACTATTTGATTAATTAATTGAAATTTAACAACCTAGTACAAAAACAGTTTTCTTCTTCCCTCAGCAAATCTTTAAACTTTCCCTTCATTTTTAGTATTTTACATGTAACACAATACTACACTGTACAGCATGCACTTTTTTGGGAGGGCGTCTCTGCTGCCTGATTGCCTATTTCCAGTACCAAATAAGGTGTGTGCATGACCAGTCAGTTCATAATCCTGAGATTCTACTGTAGTGTAAAGCAGGCAGCCCAATATTTTATAAAAATGTCAGACTCC